TTTTCAATTTTAGAAAGAATTTGATTTTTATTCGTGACTCTTTACCATTTTTTTCAACTAAATCGATGAGTACCTTAAATGAGAACATAGGGCCAAAAACAAATTCTGATCAGTGCTTTGTATTTAAGTAGAGAACTCGACCCACTCATGAACTGTTCCTGGAATTGGCAAGTAATTTTCTTGCTTTAGCAATGGTACGTTCGACTCGAGAATACAATATTTTTGCTTTATCACGTATACTATAGTTGAGAGCCAGGAATCACACTACTGTGTACTCCTTTTTAGTTTTTCTCATTGTTGATGAGATGTGTCAAACGTTGCACATCACTTTTTTTTGTATCTCGCATATGTCTCGGTGTAAAGAGATGAGAAAATCTTGAAGTTTTTTTAAAGATGCATTACGAGAAGTCCTACAACAAATGGAGAAATGAATTTCTAACGAGTTCTACTTAGACATGACCCAAACCCAAACTGTTTGGGTTTGAGTATTGAGTTTGGGTTTGAGTTTGAGTTTGGCTTTGGGTATTGTGTATTGGGTTTGAGTTTGGGTTTGGGTTTAGCACCAAACTCCCAAACAGTTTGGGTTTGAGTTTGGGTTTGTGCTTTTTTTAATCAGTAAAAGGAACTATTTTGAATGAATTGATTGCAGTTAAAAGTCGACCCAAACCCAAACTCAAACTCAAACTGTTTGGGATTTTTGGTACCAAACCCGAACCCAAACTCAAACTCAATACTCAAACTCAAACCCAAACCCAAACTCATGAACCCAAACTCAAACTCCCAAACGGTTTGAATTTGAGTTTGGGTTTGGGTCATGTCTAGTTCTACTAATAGTTTATGACAAAATCGTTTGATGATTTCTTGAATATATTTTATGTGAGGGTATACTTCATAGATAGATCTGTTGGCCACTAAAATGATCTGATAATTTCAGCTCACCATATTATTTTGTTATACAGATTATTAACAGACTGAAAATCGTCGAAATTAACACATGGCCCCCTAATATTTTGTTTCTTTTTGATTTTAATATTTCGATATCAAAACAAACCTTTAGACCGAAATGTTCAGAACACTTTAGTGACCAAAATCTCAAATATAAATCATGAGGGTGTGAGTGTGGCTTCCCTCTGTTTTCCCAAATGCACACCCCCGCCCCCCAACATACCTCAAAAAGTATCTTTTTCTTTAGGAATAGCCGTCATGATTGTTCTTCTATAATATGGTTCAAGTTTCGTTAGTGTTATCATGGATACGATCTAGCTTATTCTAAAATCCAGATACTACAGAAACATTATACTCGAAAACTGTGACTAAGATTGGTCTGTTGGTCACTGTTTGAATAAGGATAGCATTCGTTGTCTGTGATTAAACAAAACTCGAACATCTATGCACAGAATATGGAACCTAACATACTCCGTATTGAACGATTGCGTGCATTTTTTTTACATCGAAACACTGTTATTTGTATTTTGTGTCTTGGAATAATATGTTCTATTTTCTATATCATAATATATAAACAACCGTTGATCGAATCGAATACTCTTAATTCGAAAGCCGTCAGCAATGAACAATTGCATATTAATGCACCACCTGGGGTGAACATGATTAATTTGAATACACCCATTGTAGGAAATATTACTTGTAATAAGACGAAACAAATATTTAATGTGGTACGGACAACAATCTGTATACATCCTAGAGATTTTGTCAGTGACAACTATCTCACAGGATATATTTATGAGGAAAAAGATCTTCATATACTTTTACGTGTTTTGTGGCGGTACCCGAATATGGCTTTGATCGATATTGGTGCCAATATTGGCACATATACGATGTTTGCCGCTGCCTTGGGTCGTTTCGTGATAGCAATTGAATGTTTCGAGCCAAATTACGTGAGAGTCGCCAAGGCTATTCAGATTGAAAATCTCTACAATAAAGTTATTCTTATTGGAAATGCTGTGTATTCAAAGGCGGGGCAACATTTGACTTTAACTAGTGATCCTGGAAACATTGGAAGCCAGGGAGTTAAAGGAGTAGCATCGAAGAATCAATCATTACAGGATCCGTATGTAGTTACAACGATAAGATTGGATGATATTCTGCCGATAATAAAGCAGACCGGATTTCGGTCATTTGTAATGAAACTGGATATTGAAGGAAGTGAATATTATGTGTTTGAAAGTGGAAAACAAATTTTTGATTCTGTAGACATACCTATTATTGTTCTAGAATGGGGCAAGTTACTTTGGAATGCAGAGCATACAAACTACGTGATTCGTTTTCTAATACAAAAAAATTATGTTCCAACTTCAGACACCTGCAAAGAATTGAATATGATAAATATGTTCAAGGATTGGCCGCCAAATGTCTTTTGGGTCAAAATGAATCGGACGAATATATGTTAAACAGAGATAGATAAAATAGTTCTTTTTAGAATCGCAATCGAAATCAATCACGAGCAATTTTTAGATCAGACACACTTCTTATATCTAATCCACAGCAACATTCATGGTTTATCAATATTTTTCTTTAGATATTCAATCGATATTCTTCGAGAGAAGTATTTAAATACTTCTCTCTTTTGTTTTATAAACTATGGGCTATATTATATACAGTGAGAGCTTCACGACGAAAGAATAATTCGACTTTTATTCTTTCTTCACATAAATCCTCGAGTAGTTTCAGCATATGAAAATACAAAGAAAGGAAAAGCAAGGCATTTGTACAAGGGTGTGCGTGTTGATGGTGTAAAATATATGAGAATGTGAACATGAGTGAGAGTTTAGATAGAGAAGGGTGCGTGTTTTCATCGTCACAATCACATCCCCACTCACCCCCCGAAGTTCATGAATCTGACCTAAGCCTTGCGACTAAAGAAAAGTTAAATGATTGCCATAACACTCCCAGAATTTTATTAGCGCTTTCGTACCATTCTCAGGACATTGCATTCGGTAACGCTAATCAGTTGCTGTAGACACATGACGGTAATCGTATTTATCTCGAGTGCCAGAGTCTTAACCCCTTCCCCTTCCCATATTAAAAGCTCTGGGAGCTTCTATTAAGTCTTAAAAACGTTTCATAGACCATGAGAAGGAAATCGATTCGAAATACTTTTAATATTTTCGTGAATTTCTCAGAAGGTTCTGAGCGAATTTCACAGATTTAAACACAGTTTGATAGGAGTTTATCAGAGTTTAACCTTAAAGTCTCAAAACGTTTTAACACTTTTTTGGAAAAATCACGGAAGCTTCTCAAATGGGCGGGAGTTAGATGAGATATATTTGTTTCGGCTCCATCTCTCAACACCCAAAAATGATTATGTTTCTGCTCAAAACAAAATCTGACTTTGATATACGCTACTTTAAGCTTTTGATAACTATATTAGAATAGGTTCAACACTGAATGAAATCGTCAGAACTCTTACTTAATCAATTGAGACGCTTTTGTGACTTTATATAACTCAATAAACTGTACCAGATAAGAAGAGAAGAATTAAAAAAAAAAGAATCGCGTCTCCACTAGACATCCTTTATGAATGATTTATAACTCGACCAAGTACCGTTCAAATGTCGGGAACATTTTTATTCAATAAAATAATGTCAACTATTTTTCGAGGTTTATGATCATAGAATTAGAGAATACAACAAAAGTATATATCAGGGTGGATGTGGGTAAATAAAAGATGAATCCACATCCAATCACCCTCTCACGAAACTTACGACCAGTGGAGTTGAAATATAGCTTTTCAAGTGGCATACTAAACACCGGACAATAATTCGAAATCAGCTTAGTTTTTATGAGTTATTAAGATGAAAGAACTTCCTTTAATCACTGTAATCGTCAGATTTATTTAATTTAATCACACAAGTTATGAATCGACTTCTGAAAACTTTTGTATTTGTAAATGACTATATACAAACCTAGTAAATTTAATCGCAGTAAGTTCTATAGTCCGCTACAGTGCATTTAGGGAAAACGGGTATTTTCGCTTTTCTCATCATGCAATTTGCGTTAGAGAAATTATACATATGCTATTGGACAATGCTGAACAAGTCATACAGTGTAAACTACTAGAGCAGCTTTGTCATATCTTCAAGTGAATAATTGTGTCATGCATTGTTATTCGGTAGATCCATTTCAATTATACTTTTCTCTCTCTTCCGTTTTGGCCATATGTCATACACATTTGTCCTTCATGGTCAACTATTCACGTACTTTGTTAACAGACATCTTTTATGAATAAGAATAATTATTATTGTAACTCTTCTTATTGTTCATTAGCTTGAACAAAGGTGAAGAAGCTTCTCGCACTCTTTCCTGACTTGTTTGTCTCACCTATAGATGCTTCATTTTCTTTTAAATAAACGATACATAACTTCATCTCAAACATCAACACGTATGTGACATAGGATCCAACCGACTTGTTGTCAAATCAATATGACAACAAGAGATACCGATCGTAAGACAGACAAATTATAGATTTAAATACCACAGGGTGAGTGTTTCTTCCTTTCTTTTGCCCTAAGGGGAGTATATGAGTGTATGCTCTGTATGGAAACGATGCGATTCTTAAGAAGAAAAAATAGAATAAAGGATAATTCAACCGACGGTAACAGTTCTTCTATCAGAAATGGTCAGCTAGTCGGCCTAAAATTCGTTAGAATAAGAAATGTAATCGAGGAGTAGTATGGTTAAGTAGCACTAGATGTTTATTATTTTTTTGGATGATTCATACTTCTGAGGTGATGATGAGAAAGAAAGATAGATAAATAAACGTGCTAGATAAAAGAAAGAAGAAAAGAGACTCCTACCCTGTACTGCGTAAATATGATAAATTTTCCGATTAGATGTAATACAATCTTTCTTCATATTATATATTTTTCTCATTTTTTTCAAAAAAGAAAAAAACCTCAACTCTTCGTGATAGAAATTCTGACTGTTGAATAAATTATTTTAGATAAATTTTAATCTGTTTTTATTTGTAAAAAGAACTGATTATGTCTACTTCATCACAATTATTTGATGAGACAATTGCATCGTCTTATGTGAACCTTATTGATGAACGTCTTGGTGCTCAAATACTTTCTGTTTCTGACGAGTTTTTTGCTCCAGCAGTTCGTATGCTTGATCCTAAACCAGCTGTTTTTCATCCGGGAAAATTTGATGATCATGGCCAATATATGGAAGGATGGGAAAGTCGTCGAAAACGTGTAGCTGGTTATGATTGGTGTATTGTACAATTAGGTTTAGCAGGAAAAATTGTTGGTGTTGATATTGATACAAGTCATTTCACAGGCAATTATCCAGTAGCAGCATCTATTGATGCATGTTGCGTTAATAAAGGAGAAAAACCAGATAATTGGCAAGAAATTTTACATGCAGTTACGTTGGGTCCAAATGCTCATCATTTTCATGCAATAACAGTTGAGGATCATTGGACACATATTCGTTTAAATATTTATCCAGATGGTGGTATTGCTCGACTTCGTGCGTATGGTATTGTTCAACCATCAGAAGATAGATTCAAGGAAGAAGTTGATTTATTAGCTCTTGAAAATGGTGGTCGTGCCATAGCAGCAAATGATGAACATTATGGTAATCCATGGACTTTATTACATCCTGGTCGTGGTATTAACATGGATGATGGATGGCAAACTCGACGACGACGTTTACCTGGTAATGATTGGTGCTTACTTGCTTTAGGTAAACGTGGTAGAATATCTCGTATTGTACTTGATACAGCTCATTTTAAAGGTAATTTCCCTGATACATGTATAATTCAAGCAGCTGATGTTACTATAAATAATAATAAATCATTAGTGACTCAATCCATGTTTTGGCAAACATTATTATCTGAACAGAAATTAACAATGGATGCTATTCATACATATGATAAAGAGCAAATCAATGATCTTGGTCCAATTACTCATGTACGAATTAATATTATTCCTGACGGTGGTCTTTCTCGAGTACGTCTCTTTGGTCGTGTTGAATAATATATGGTACATCTTCATTTGAAAAACTTTGAATTTTAGTTGATAATTCAAATAATAACGAATGATAATAAACAAAAAATGAACGTAAATAAAATATACGTAGTATAAAAGCAATATGCACATTCAAAATCCTCAAATTTATATAGAAAGAAAGAAGAAACTACTTATTACATACTTTCAAGTTGAGAATCGTTTAAGTTGAGCAATAAAATAAGATTCTTTTTTATATCCACACTCTAATGTCCTCTTTCATTACATTTTGAAATAAATTCTATCGCAGTTAGTTGCTAAGTAATGACGCTGCATCGCATAATATGTTTTATGTTCCGTCCGATGTTCGTTCTGCACATATTGATGACTAATCAAATGCACGCTCTGTATTGTACGATACCTAGTGCAGGTTTCGTCACTCATTGGTGCATGACGTCACGCCCAATTATTCTTTTTTGAGAGAATCTACGATTTCATATGCTGATCATTCTAGTGATTGTTTTCATTGAATGATGACGAATAAAGATGAACAAGTGGAATTGGCGAATCTTGCTGAGCAAACTAAACGGTGAGACATCTATTTGCATAGTATATATTCATTCTGATAATGCAAGTTTTGCTCTAGATATACTGATATGGTGGTAGCCATGAAAAATGTTGTTGAATCGAATAGTGAACTGGCGACTGACGAACGTAGTTTGCTCTCGAGGGCCTATAGATATGCGATCAGTAGTTGTCGATTATCTTGGCGAGTGATATCCATTATTGAACTCGAAGCTCAAGGTTTTGAACGTCAACGAGAAATGGTCAAAGCATATCGAGAGCAGATCGAAAATGAATTAAAAGATATCTGTTATGAACTTTTAGTAAGATCTTTTATTCAATTAACGAGATGATTCTAGAAACAGAGTTTATCAATCTAGAGCTTACTTGATAAATATCTCATTCCGACTGTAACAACAATTGAATCGAAAGTGTTCTATCTGAAAATGAAAGGTGATTATTATCGATATCTGACTGAAATCACTACCGGCAATGAACAACGAAGTATTGTATTGATTTATAACATCAGAATAAATATGTTTGTTGATATTCATTGTTACAGAGTTCATCGAAGAGTCGAAGCATGCCTACAAGAATGGCTTTGACATAGCTCAGGATCAAATGACAGTCACACATCCTATGCGACTTAATCTTGCTCTAAATTTGTCAGTTTTTTGTTACGAATTTCTCAGTGAAACAGATTTGGCATGTCACCTGGCTAAGAAGGTTTGTTCAATTTAATGTGTTTTGTTTCTTTATTTATCAAAATATCAACGATATAGGCCTTCGACGGTGCTGTGTCTGGATTAGATTGTATCAGTGGTGATTCTTACAAAGGTAAGAACAAAACTTACTGATCTATTATTTAATATTAACGTAATTTTCCTTTCTATTTATTTTTAGACAGTACTATTATCATGCAACTACTTCGCGATAATCTTAAGGTGAATATTGCGACTTCTGAACATTTTATATAATTAAACTTATCTTTGTTTTTGAATCTTCGCAGGTTTGGACTAAAAATCAACATGATCTTAACGACATAGATCAATCGAGAGAACAACAGTAACTGTGAAGTCTGCTCACGCTTACTTTTTACTTCCGTTATTTTACATTATCATACTCATGCAACTAATCGATTTCACAATAAAAAATAAACATGCCCTCCTTATTTCTTTTCAATCTTATCATCAATAATAACAGGATACATTCAATCTCTATTCGTTATAACCCGATAGATATATGAGACAGTTGTCAGCAACTACAATTCACTTTTCAATCTCATCATAACCATCCTTAGGATAGGTGGATGTTCCATTTGTAAACCCACACCCTTCTTTATGAAGAATTTATTAATACTAGATGACAAAATCAGATCAAAAAAAAAAGATATATAACAACAAATTACAATTGATTTATAATGCGCAACAATTCGATTTTCTACACAATGTGATTCTATTTTATATTTACATTCAACTACATATTGAATATCGATGTACTCATTGACAATCGAACAACATCATGGTATAAATAAAGGATGTTACAAATCGTAGGGAGAAAAAAAATGTACAGTATAGAATTTTACCAAGCCATCTTAGCCAAAAATGATTTTGGATATCGACGTACAAGATATTTACGTATTTCATCGAATAGAAATAGTGCGACTCCAAATGCTAACGCCGGGCAAATATATTTAATTGATACTGGTTCTGTTTTAAACATTGAATTAAACCATGGTACTCGTACGACGATTACACAAACGATAGTTGAGAATAATATACCTAATAGAATAGTCCAATTACGTCCTTTTCCGAAGAATGGATTATGATTGAAGAATGATATATGTCGTGTACGTGTTGCTAGTAGATTGAACATTTGCATAACACATAATGCTACATAATATATAGATTGACCAGTTTGTTGAATGATTAATAATTCTTCCGGTGTTTTAGCAATTGGAGGATTTTTACTATAATTAGCGTACGTGAAAAATATGCTGTTCAAAGGAATACCTGAAGAAATAGAAATAATTTATTCAGTTAAACTAATTCGTTTTTTTTGTTTTTTTTTATAGGAATTATTATTTACCTTGCGATGAATAATACCAGAAGAAGCAGAAGAAAGCAGCAAAACATTCGATATTTCCCACAACCAAGTAAGCGTGAACAAGTAATTTCCAATCAATTAAATGTGTTCTATGACGAATAGCAGGTGGGCGCGACATTATATCTTGTTCAGCTTCTTCTGAAACCATTGCTAATGAATTAACAACATCGTTGAACATACAAAAGATGATAGCCAAAAAGAGAGATAGTGGAAGTGGAATACCTAACCAAATGTTAAAAAATACAGGAATTACTTCTGACCAAGAACCTTCAATAGAAAATAAATTCATATGATATTGTTTTTTTATCTGATTAATTAGAAACTTACCTCCAGGTAATAAATAGATTGCAACTTTTTTCAAATTATCACTTAATAATCGACCTGTTTCAATAGCAGTGATAATTGAGGAAAAGTTATTATCGAGCAAGATCATATCACCAGCTTCTTTGGCTACATCCGTTCCAGCAGCCATTGCTACACCGAGATCGGCTTGTTTAAGTGCTGGTGCATCATTTGTTCCATCTCCAGTTACTGCCACTACTTCGCCTCTCTTTAAAAACTCCATAACAATACGTAATTTCTGTTCAGGTGATGTCCGAGCAAAGACAATCTCTTGATGGGATAAAACCCAGTCCCACATATAGTCCTAAATGATAGATATAATATTAATCTTTAAATATATTTAACTTACATCCATCGAATGCATATCACCGCCAATTACAACAACACCATAAGGAATTAATTTAAGTTTGTCTATATCTTTAACTTGATTTGGATCTCGTAGATAGAAGAGGATACAAGCCCAAATACGTTTGAAAATATTTGATTTAATTTTCATATTAGACGTTGTTTTAATACCCTTCACTTGAATAGATGTCATTACTTCACTAACAATATGAGTTTCAAGACATGTGTTCGTATCACGCATAAAATGAGCCATTATTTGACCTGTCTCATTATTATGTTCAATTTTAAATGTATCAATACCATGATCGATACTAATTTCTTTGGAAAGAATATTCACTTTTTTAGCAATTGAAGCTGCTGTAGTTGGATGATCACCAGTAACCATAGCTACACGAATATGAGCACGACGTGCTTTGATTACTGCATCAGGTACTTCGGGACGAGCTGGATCAAGTAATGAGAACATACCTAAATAAATTTATAAAAAATATATTTTTTATTTATAGATTCTAATTAAATTTTAAGTTACCGATAAAACAATAATTATCTCCTGGTAATCCATTAAGATCAGGTTCATTAGAGATTAATTCTGTTTGTTTTTGTTGATGTTGTTTTTTACTTGTTTTATATGTTTCTATTAAAGCATTGTATTGACTCTTTTTCATCTTCTGTTGAATCATTCCAATCACTCGATATCCACATTTTCCAAGTGTTTCTTGTCGTTGTTGAATAGAAGATCGAAATTCTTCGGTTATCGGCAATATTTCATCACTTGAATCTTGTTTGTATGTTGAACATCGTGAAAGAATAAAATCAGGTGCACCTTTAAGTGTAACAAGTACGGTTGCATCATTATCAAGACTAGTTGATGTTTGTTCAAGAATATTAGCAGTAATCATAAATTTATTTTTTGAATTAAATGGAAGAATATTAATACGTGGATTTGTTTTTTTCACTTGTTCAATATCGACTGAACATTTATCATTACAGAAATGATAAAGTGCTACATCAGCTGCATCTCCCACTATTTCATTCTTCTCTAAATATGTATCATTAGTGTTACTTTCAAGACTTGGATTATCAATGCCATTTCCGTTAATTAAAGATGGTTGTTTGACAACATTATTGCAAAGACATGCACCAAGAATTAAATCTTTCATAGCAGTTGGAATATTTTCTGCATTTAATGATGGTCGCTTTCGATCGATTATATGTTCTTCATTATTCAATGTGACATTCGGTTCATTATTGGTATGAATTGGAATCATATATTCTCCTTGAGTTCCCCATAGAAGAGCAGTAATTGTCATTTGATTAATCGTTAATGTTCCAGTTTTATCTGTAGCAATTATCTAGTAGAAAAAAAACAAAATTAATTAATCATATTCGGACATATAGTTAGATCACTTACAGAAACTGAATTAAATGTTTCAACAGTTGCTAGACTTTTGACCATTACTTTTTGTTTATACATTCGTTTTGCAACAATAGTTAATACAAGAGTAACAGCAGCTGGTAAACCTTCTGGAATGAAACATACGACCATACCAATTGAATTAACAATATTTCCTATATATAAAAAAAATTAAATGATCTGTGAACTATATATTTATTTATTAATTACCATTGAATGAAATATATCCATTCTGTTTAATATTAAGCCAAGCAGCCCAAGTAATCCATAAAAGAAAAATAGATAAAAGTGCTGCAGCTATAACAAACAATACGAAACGATTAATTTCCCGATGAAGTCCAGTTATTTCCGATCCACTGGTATTTCGTGTCATTTTTCCAACGTGTCCAAGAATGGTACTATCTCCAGTATTAACAACTATAGCTTCACCTGTTCCTTGTACGACGAGTGATGAATAAAAAATGATATTCGTCGATTCTAAAAAGTTTCGATTTGTACATTTAATTGTACAAATTACAGGTGCTGATTCGCCAGTCAATTGTGAAGTATTCACTTGAAGATCATCACATGTAACAATTCGACAATCGGCTGGAACTTTTTCACCAAGACGAACACGAATTATATCACCAGGTACAAGTTCTTCTGCATTGATTTGTATTTCAGCACCATTTCTTTTGACAGTAGCAGTTGTTGGTTGCATTTTTGAAAAAGATGCCACTATTTTCATTGATTTCACTTCTTGATAGAAGTTAAAGAGAGCATTAGAAACAATGACAAGCACAAGTATTACACCCAATCCTAAATTGGTAGGATCAGGACTTGGTTCGCCAAATGGTTTCTACAAAAGCAAAGAATTCGTACGATCGATTTTATTTAAAAAAAAAGAAGTATAGATGACTTACGTAGCTAAGAAAGGCGAATAGAGTTGCAATCCATAAGATACCATTGAAACCGATAAGAAGTTGTTTGATAAACATCCATAAGAGACTTGGTTTGTGTGATGGTGTAAGTTTGTTTTCTCCGAATGTAGTACGATGTTCTGTTACTATATCATTTGTTAAACCTTTTGTCAAGTCGCTATTAAATCGTTCAACTAATTTCTCCATAGGTATAATATGCGTATCGACCTTCATTAATGATGAATCTTCAATAATATCTTCATCTAATTCCAATGCATTATCGTCGGTATTGGAAGGAAGATATGTTGACTTGTCTCTCGTGGTCTTCGATGGCACTTTCAAGACATCGGTTTTATCCATTAGTACAGTGACATGATTCTGATGTTCTTCAGGTGATGATATCATTCGATTACGATGACGAGCTAATTCATATCTACGTCTTTCTGCCAATTGAAGACTCAAGTGTTGTGACATAGTTTGCCAAGCAATACAATCTTGTCGCATGTTATAAACTGGACTATCATCTGAGCCAATAATATTTATTGCACGTAATGAAGAACGAAGGCTGTTCTTTCGACGACCAGCATTTGCTGACGATGGAGCCGATAATGATGTCTTCACAGGCATTGTTTGTCGACGACCGGTATTGAATGGTAATATATCATCCTTACTGCTCTTACGCCCAACACTATTCCAGCGAATCTTAGACATCGATTCGTAATACAATCAAAATGAATTGTGTTCGATTGATTAATTAATAACTACAAATAAATTCTACATTATGAAAAGTAGTTCAATAAAAATTACTTAATCGTTCGTTCTAATACTAATTTCATAGAATTTTACTGTGCGAGAAAAAGTTGTATAAATATTATGTGTTCTCTACACTCAGAAAAAAAAATTTCAACTTAAACTCGATATTAAAATGATTAGAAATGTCACGTCGTGAAGTCGAATGTTAAATGATATTTTATTAGATAATAAACTACTTCATAGACGTCTATATATAATGCAATACGCGTATACTAAGGAATATTCTAGAAGAGAATATGCCTCGACAGTAACAGAGATTATTTCGACAGAGAATAATCCGAGTGCATACACGAGAACAAAGAAACGTATATACGAAATATATATTAACAACCTCGATAGAAAAGAAAGAAGAATAAAACGAACGATAATAGTCTAGCCTATACATTACAAGAAAGAAATAATATTCATTAAAAGATAAATATTATACTGGATATATCAGTAGTTGAACAACAATTTCACTTGAAAGTTATTAATCGATTTTTGACAGTCACAAAGTAACGAACTTATTTTTCATAAAAGAATTAAATTCCCGAACTTTTTTATCCGTTATTTTCTGTTAATCGATGTGACATAGAGTCTTTTGATCATTCCATACAAATCTTAGTTTACTCCGTAATTTCACTATGTTTTATCTTATCTTACATTATTGAGCTTTAATTATATAAGGACAGACTAAAATAAATATTTTAATGATATAAAACGAATCAGAAAATATAAAATTGAATCAATATTTAAAATATTTTATCCATATAAACTATTCTATTATTTATTACTTTTGATTATAATACAGTTACTTAATGATCAAGATTTAAGAGATTTGTCCAATTTATGATGTGTACTATTCTTTCTCTCTTTGATATATTAGATAAAATTCACAAAATCAAATTAGAATAAGACTTATACGACGCACTATAAAACAAAAGTTTTTGTTTTAAACATACGTGTTCATAATTCCGAAGAATATGTACGCATTGAATAAATGAATAAATAACTGCTGGTTGACTTCTCTATTATATAGCAACAAAATAACAAAGAAATAAAGTTCATTGTTACTATCGGTCAAGTCAATGAGAGGGACTAATGGATAAATATCTTATTTCCATTTTTGGCTCTTTCTCTTCATTGACTCTGTGACCGTTACGCTTGACCTTCGTTCATTGTACATAGCTTTCTCTTTCTTACGTGACGATATACCTCTTGTATGAACGAGACCAATTGGTGTGTGAAAAAGCTAGATAAAACGAATATCACTACAATGAAATTGGTCACAACTCTATCTATTCGAAATTGGAAATCTAAAAAATATTTATTTATTTTATTGATGTAAATCCTTTATTAAAACTTCTTATATGAACCATTAAAATGAGTTATTTGAAAGTAAATCTAATGTTTATAGAGAAATGTAACATTGGACCTTTTTTTGTATAGATACACAATGTTCTATACTTAAGATTTTTCCCTTAATTCTTTCTATATGGATTTTCTCTCTTGTTTACGCATGTTTTTATATAATGGCACCAGCTCGAAAAATTAAGGATGTGAATGCGATGTCTTGGTAAATCGTACACAAACTTATTATATATGAATTACGTATGTGCATATACTAATCTAAGTGAATATGATGAAGGTATACGTGCGAACTTGTCTATGAATAAGTAGAAAATCTACATTCATACCCGTAAAATGATTTCATCAGTTCAGAAAATATTGTGTATTTTTTTTTTGAATAAAGTGTTTAACTTTAAAAAATAAAACAAAACGAAGTTTAATATATGTTATGTTATAAAACAAATCAACAATATCTTATATTTATCAGACATGCTGCAGAAGAACACATAAAACTGAATACAACTTTTCAAAGTAAGCAGATCTTCAACGATCTGTCTTATTCAATTGAATTGAATTTTTATCTTAAATTAACATCGATCTTTGACTCTATATTCTATATATTTATTAAGAAATTTAGCCAGCTGACACTCACACAATTTTATAGGAAAATCTTACCAACTGGTTAAATGTCTTTGAGCTTAATTCTTGCACATAAATAAATCACCGTAGAACTACAAAAGTTTCATAAAAAAAAGTTGTAGCGCAACTCCTTCGAACTTGACAAGGAAAACTCGAAATAGCTGCTGCAGCATAAGTTAACGCAACTTAATAACTAAGTTGCTAGTACACTTCATTTCCTCAACATAAGCAACTAACTTAAATAGCTTTAATAGAAAAAGATTTAATTTTCTTTCTTTGAGTTATTTATAGCCTTTCGATAAAAGTCTTTCATTCTCATTGTTTTTATATTAATATACTTTGCGTCAAATTTATGATCAAATGAAGATACGACATAATATTTCTTTGCAGTAAGATATATATATCATATTGAAATAAAACTATCATGTCATAAATTTACTCAACAATAAATTTCATGCAACGCATGATAGTATAGAGACAGTAAACGCGAAAGACTTTTGCACAAGTATGTAGTGATATCATATTCTTTAGAAAGAATAGTGCTGTTAGAAACTGGACTTGAATTTTAGAATATGTTGTCTATATTGTTTTACAAACACTCTTTCAACTAATGATTGTTTTCTTTTTTTCGGCATTAAAATATTATCCGTTTCTTTTCTATTGTATCAGCGGGATATTAAGGATAAAAATTCCAGCTAAGGACGATACTCTTCAGGAGAGATACTATAGTCCTATTTATAAAGAAAGAGTAAGCCGTCCTCATGAGTCATCTTTGATTCAATTCAATCGAAGATGAAAAGTAAACACTTCCTTTCTATATATTCTTCTAAGATTATATACAGCTGCGTGTGGTTATTTGTCGATTCTTCTCATATTGTGTATTACACCGATATCTTATCAAATCGAACTATTAAGCCAAAAAAAAAACAGTGGTAAATATATATTAACTAATATCAGAAACCTATGCACCTGTTTGCGAAGCATGCGTTAATTTCAAGTTAAATTTGAGTACGATTACATGTACTATTATTCGTAGATATATAAAAACGATTCTTTTATAATAACTTCCAATGGTTTTATTATCAATTATTGAATAAATATGTCACTGATAATAAATAATGATGATGAAGATGAATTTGTCGAAAAACAAATACTCAATCAATTATCACAAGAAAATTATGCTCCAGTACGACTTCGATCGTTTATTAATCATTATGGAACTGTTCGACCACGTATTTCAACTATAAATCGTTTGAGAAATCATTTTAATAAATTCTTTAATACATTAAATTGCCTTTATATTATTAATGTATTATTCGATCGAATACCGATTATACGTTGTCTTAAAGAATATAATCTACGAAAGAATCTTTTCGCAGATATTATGTCTGGTATGACAGTAGCAATTATGCATATACCACAAGGTTGAAGAAAAACAAAATAAATGAAAATATATTTAATAATCTCTGTATTTGCTGATAATTATAGGTATGGCTTATGGCATGTTAACAACATTACCACCTATTCATGGTATAGATATTATTGAAAATTAGATTATTCTCTTATATGCATATTTTAGGATTATATGTCTCCTTTTTTCCTGTTCTACTCTATATGATTTTTGGTACTTGTCCACATTTATCTATAGGTTAATCTAGTTTACAGTAGAATATTCATCAGGACTAATTTATCTTCTCTTTTTGTAAAGGTACCATTGCTGTTATATCACTAATGACTGCACAAGCCATCAGTGGAACACCATTACAATCTTTCAATATTATAAATAATCAATCATATGTTGCATCTAATATATACGATGAAATAGTCATCAATGAAAAAGTAGGTATTGCTACGACATTGGCTTTTCTCGTTGGACTTATTCAGGTAAACTAAACAGATGAAAATAATAAAAATAATAAATGAAGACTTGTTTTTCTTAAAGTTAATTCTATCATTTCTTCGTCTTGGTTTTCTCACAGTATACTTAACCGAACCATTTATTAGTGGATTCACAACAGGTGTTGCTATTCATGTATTTTCAGCTCAACTACCATTCATTTTCGGTATAAAAAGTCCACGCGGTATTCAAGGTGCTTTTAAATTACCTAGATTCTATTTTAAATTAATTGGGTCCATAATTCAAAATATTAACTGGATATCAACAGTAATTGCTTTTACATCAATCATTGTTTTATTTACAGCTAAACAATTAAATGATCGTTATAAATCAATTATACGTGTTGTTATTCCAAGTGAACTTATTCTGGTATGTTTAACCGTCATTTCATTCAGCGAGAAAAAGAATCCAAGGATAGTCTAATATGTAAACCATACGATCAGGATCTTGATCGTTGTATCGAGAAATGAAAAAGTATAACTGCAGATAATTCAGGTAGATGTAAGACATGCTTTAGCATTGACATGTGAGTTCTATATCTTCTGTGAATATTTGCAAGGCTTTATTGCATATATGACTTTAGAAAAACTCTATTTTTAGATAATTATTGGCACTCTTATTTCTCATTTTACTCAAATTCATACTTTTCATGGTGTGTCAGTAGTCGGTCCGATTAAGCAAGGTCTACCATCACCAACTCCACCTCCATTGCAGCAGATTTCATATTTAATTATGCCTGCTGCTACAATTGCTATGGTCAGTCTATGTATTTCAATTTCAATGGGTAAAATGTTCAGTCGAAAACATAATTATAAAGTTAGCTCCAATCAGGTATGATTGATCATTTATTTTAATATTAGAAAAAACAGCAAAAAATGAATAGGCTATTCCTAAAGTCATCATTTAAGAATTGAAATTTTTCTTTAAATATCATAAATAACCTCTTATCTATGTTTTATCTATTAGGAATTGTTAGCCTATGGAATATCTAATGTTGTTTCATCTTTCTTTCAATGCTATCCAAGTTCAGGCGCATTAACTCGTTCCATAGTACAAGAAGGAAGCGGTTGTAAAACTCAATTAGTTGGTGGTTTTTCATGTATTGTCTTGGGTATAGTCATAGTAGCATTGACACCATTATTTTATTCTCTTCCAATGGGTTGTTTGGCTGCTATTGTTATTGTTAATATGAAGGGTCTATTATTTCAAATTAAAGATTTCTTTTTTTACTATCGTATAAGTTTTCTGGAATGTGTAAGTAAATATAGTTATTTCAAATCATATCTCTTACTGTTTCGTCTAATCGAGTAGATTCTATGGATTGTTACATTTATGACTGTAATTCTATTCGAAGTTGATATTGGTCTTTATGCTGGCTTATGTACATCATTTCTCATAAATACAATACGTACTCAAAAGTAAGCTATTTTATTATGTGTTTTTATTCTATAAACTATTTCTTTTTTTTTCCATAGACCTCATTTCGTTGTTCTCGGTCAAATCGATGATACTGAAATATACAAGAATGCCAAATTATTTCCAGTAGTAAGTAATCAATTTATATGCATATATTGTATTAAAATTGCTTCTACACTAATAACAAAGAGATACATTCAGCAAACTAATATAAAGAATGAATTATTAGATAAATCATTCATGAGTTTCAGAATTACATTTTTTAGTTATTGTTGTTGAACATGATGCTGTTCGAGTATTGAGATAATTGTAAATGAATAGAGAGTATATGTTTCATGCTATCGCAACTGTTAGTATGTATGTATCACATCTATTTCGACTACGACATAGATATACTTATAGATCAGACGAATAATAAATATATCTAAATTGAATATGTTGCTTCTGTAGGCTCATCAATATGATAATATTAAGATTCTTCGCTTTGATGAATCACTTTATGCATGTAATTCACCATTTTTTAAACGAAAATTTTATGAACTAATTGGTATTCAATTACGACAAGAACCACTTATTTCATATAAAAAGCAAAATTTGAATAAGATTGAAAACATAAAATATAATTATGTTATTCTCGATTGTTCACCATTCAATTTTATTGATACAGTTGGAGTGAAATTACTTATTGAAGTTTGTATTGTTTATAAGAAATACTAATTAATATAAAATATATTTTATTATTTTAGATTTATAATGATTTAAAAAAACGAAATATTCAATTATATTTAAGTGAATGTCGATGTAAGTTACTTAAATTATATATTCTCAAAACTAATCTTTTTATATTAATGTAAAGATGGTGTTCGTCGTACTCTTGAATTAATGAATTTCTATGAAAAAACAGCACCTAATATTATCTATATAACAACACATTATGCAGTTATGTCTATAAGAACAGAATCAGATACCAGTATGCATAGTTAATCAAATGATATTTATTGTTTATATTTTGTTTTTTTTATAGATTTACCAAAAGTGACGATAGCTACACAAGTTTAATTATACTCTTATCATAACACATCTCAATTGACCTTCAACCCTATTTATTTCTTATTTTATACCATTTTAGTTCGCTCTTTTTTCAACAGTTAACACACTGAGAACGTATCGATTTCACTGCGTCTTATAGTATATTGATTATAAATAAAAAAAAGCAATCAAATGAATAAACGTACATTATGAGAAAATATGCCGGTGTTTTTTGTGTACAATTATTTACAATACAGAGTGGATCTTTTGGTTTGTATAGAAGTCAATTAGTATTTATGAGAATTCCCAAAAAGTTATTATATTTCACTGAACAATAATCGAAGACAATAATGATCAAAGGCCAACCCTCAGAAGTCAGATTTAATGTTAGATTGTGTCGTACATTTAATATCTGTAACGTATGGTGTGGGAGCGAATGTAATTCATGACTATATTCTACTCTTACCCACATCCACACTCTCAAGATGCTACAATTAGTTTCGGTCACCGGAGCGAGATGTTTTATTGTTACCACAATAACTATTTCGTAGAAACACTGAATTTTTTGCATAATAAAATGATTAGAAAGCAATACAAGTAATTACAAATATTACAGACAACATTAAGTAAAAATAGTTATATCTTGAGACTGTGGGTGTGAGTACAAAAAAGACGATTCTACTTTATATTCATAGAATTCCTTAAAATAAAGAACGAAATCGTCGAAGTTTTCGTTTGATATTAGCATTAAATTCATCTTTATACGTTTTTGATGGTAATACATAGATAATAAATGTCATCATTGATGGTACAAATGATATTAAATAAGCAAAAAGAAATAACCAGGAATTGTTTGGTGATTTCATACATCCACTTGTAAATGAAATGATTAATCGTGCTAATGCTAATAATACAAATACAACTGATGCCATAAGACGAGATTTGTGTTGTTTTAATTGTAATCGTATATGTTCGATGAGTGGTAATCTTCTCTCTTGAGTTGAATGAAAATTAGCAATTGATATAATAATAAAGATTATACTGAATAAATTAATTAAAAAAGGCATTAGAAAATGAATGAATATAATAAATGAATTAAATGTACCAATTGAAGACGAATATTGTACAATACACCAAATACGTTTTTCATCAATATCAATATCATCAATTAATTGACGATGAAATGGATCATGAAGATGTGTGAGGATTGTAAAACTTAGAATACTTAATATAACCCATTTAGATATTTGTTTACTTTTAGTTCTGTCGAACCGAACACCTTTTCTAATATTTATAACTTGTTCAATAGAAACACATGTATTAAGCCAATCATTAAATGCTATAAGAACTTTAATAGTGATATCTAATAAGAGACAATTAATATTGAGAAATGATCGATTAGTATGAATTGTCATTTGTGATAATAATAATTCCCAAAATTTAATTGTTAACATAATAATTAAACATATTGATGTCCAAGAAGATAGTAAAAGATAATAACCACGACCTACATTTCTTGTTCTCTTCATATGAAATGTTAATATTGATGTAATTCCATTAATTAATCCTAAAATCAACATAAGTGTGATAATGGCTATACTAATTTTGATAATCATGGGTTGTTGAGAAAAAGAACGATTTGGTTTAATATGATAACTAAGAATATAATCAAGTGATAAAACAAAACCTTTGGTAGTAAATTGACATCTTAAACCATAATAACAATCAGAACATATGCATAATGGTATAGAAGAACATTTGGGATCATCTTGAAAGCATCGACCATGATTTTCACAATAATTATTTCCTTGACAATCATAAGTCACTGAATGATTAAAAATAAAACAATTTGAAAATCGATCAAGATCACATAGACACATATATGTTTCATCATAAAAACACATTAATTGTTTGTATTGTCGACATAAAAGAGGATAATATTTGATACGATGAAGATAAGAATAAGATTGTAAAGTAGAATTGATTAATTCATGTATGGAAACACATCGTTGATTTGATGATAATTTCATGTGAATATGATTTAGTTTTTGGAAATTCTCTTGTCGAATAATTAAATAATAATTTTCTTCTGAGAGTTCAATAAAAAGAAGATGAAATTGTTGTTTTACATGAATTTGTAAAGTATTTTCTCCATATTTGATTTTTCTTATTTGTGTTATATGTTGTTGTTCCGAATGATCAAATGCTTTGATGAAATGAATAAATACAATTGAAACTTGTTGAATTATATCTTCATTTAATTCAATAAAAATTCCATCTGTAATCTGATTTTCACATCTTTTTCCATAGAAATTATCTTTACATAAACAAATAAAATCATTGATGTTGATACGATCATTAACTGGTATACATAATCCATTATTTTGACATGAATTATTTGATGATTGACAAACTGAACGTGTTAGAGAACAATTTCGACCAAATTTGTTCATTGAACATAGACAAATAGATGAAGTAAGACAAAATGAATCTGATGAACAAGAACAAGAATGTTTATAATAACATTGTCGACCAGAATAACCTTGATCACATTGACAAAAATATGAGGAATTGTTATTAACATATTTCATACATCGACCATATTTTCCACAAGGTAATTTGCATGAAGATTCGACTTGTTGTTGTGTAGTAGTAGTAGGTGGAATAAATAATTGTGTAGCAATTCGATTAACAGGTAGAAATTGAAAAGGAATGGATAGATGCCAACTTGCCCAATATGTTAATGTAATTTTATTAAAAATATCAATACGTATTGAATAATTAGCTGAAAGATTTTTGGGTCGATGAGGATAAAGTAAATAAATATGAAATTTCTTTTGACAATCACGTTGAGGTATGTATGTAATTTGTTCATGATAAGGATAAATTGTTTGTTGATGATCGATGAGCATGATTACTAATTGAAAAGAATGAATATTATCTGTAATTGTACGATAAATTAGTTGTAGTGTTAAACTAATACGTTGATTTTGTAAGTGACATCGATTACCAAAATAAGATGGAGGACAAAGACATTTTTTAGTTTGATTATTTTTGAATAGAAGAGGAATTCCTCGATTACAATACCAATCTCTTGTTCGATTTTTCATCGGAGTACTTGTATTTACATCTACTTGAGATACTTGGAGAACCGAGGAATTAATAGAAGATGATGGAAAATAGTTCAATCGAAATGTTTGGAGAAATTGTTTCGGTTTTCGTTTGAATTTATCTGGGTCTGTGAGTCTGTACCTGTCACGATTATACATCAGAAGAGTGACAAATTTAAACGGCGAAGCTATTTTGGTTTGTATAAAACAATTATCATCATGGACCATTGTTGAATTTGATGGAGGATTAATTAGGTGTTCTGAAGTAATACATTTTGTTTCGTTCCAAAAAAAGTGATCGTTTAAATCAATAACGGTATTATTAGCAAAATAGACGTAACGAAGTATTTCTGTTACAGATTTCCAACGTTTCTCCATTAAATGGAGATATAACACACAGATACTCGGTCTCTCAGAAAAAGCAGGCACACATAAGTGTTCGTTTAATAGACATTTTGCATCTGGACAGTTTAGTTCATCCGCACCATTGAAGCAATGCCAAGCATTATCACATCGAGAGTATGGATTATTACATGGCCACCATGCACAATTAGTTTCATCTGTATTATTGAATTCATCCATTGAGAATAAATCCTTTTCTCCATCACAAAATATTGCAAAGGGTACAGGATTTCTTTGAATATCTCGTCGATCTTCTGGCCATTCATCATCTCCAAGTTCACAATCTTTGATTCCATTTTCAATAGCAACTAATGATAAACATTTTTCTGAATTAGATGCACATTTAAAACGTTTTGAATCATTTAATTGACAAGCAGAAAATAATTCATCTTCTTTGAAATAACAATCATTATAGCCATCAACTAATCGATGTTTTGAAATGCATTTTGATGAATTTGAACAATGAAATAAGGATGAATGTGAACATGTTTTATCTGTACCAATTGTTAAACAACGTTGACCAAGATCAATCAAAATTTGATCTAACAGATACCAAACTAATAATGTTTTATTTATTAGATCTTGCATTTTACAACATATGAGCCCGTTATACATACCAATATTTATTGAACAATGTATTAGTCCAGGACAATGACTTGCATTAAAACAGATAAAATCAGGTGCGATATTATGTTTGAACTCATCGACGGATCGATTTGTTAAATAAACAAATTGAAACAAGCCATATATGAAAGGAGATTTGGGTAACAGAAGCCATTCCGACGGACAATGATTACCAAGAAATTCGCAACCAGTATTGCTTGTGTCATTATATTTAAAGTGAATAATAGTAGAGAAACGAAGTGAACAATAGAATGCTTGTCTACAGGATATGTTTGAAATGTGGTCTAACGAAGTGAAAACATTAAAAAACATATAATAATATCGATTTGCATCGCAGATGTCACGGCTGTTTGTCGTAGATTCTGTCCAAAAGGAGGGACTAGGAAAATTACGACATGGAAATAATACAAGAGGACGTCGATCATTGAGTTCTTCACACTGAAATGTTGATACGCTTGTACATAGATGGTCAGTTACGTATCTGGAGTATTTTGCTGGGTAGACTTCGTCTGAACCGTCAAGACAATCAGTACTTGTTTTTCCATCACGAAGAAATGTAGATGAAATACACTGTCCACCGAAATGACAACGAAAATCATCTTCAAAACATTCATTCACTTCTAATGTGTCGCATAATTGCTCATCTTCCCCATAGAGACAATCAAAATATCCATCACAAATTTCATGCCAATCAAGACACATCGGTGATGGACCACGATAACAGTCAGGTAAAAATGGATAACATGTATTTGAATAGATGTATATTTCAGCTATATCATTAATATCATAATGAAATTGAAAAACTTTATTAAATGAAGGTAGTACAGTAGATTGAAATCTATATTGACATATCGAACCAAACCATGGTAATGAACAATTGTGAAATATTTCATTCGAGTTCTGGCCAGTTCTGTCATATCGTTCGATAATATCAATTGGTACTGACCATTTGAGTAATTCCCTACTTGTTACACCTTGTCGATATAACTCAGCAAACGTCATGCTATTTAAAATGTTTTTGTACGGTATGGTAGAGAAATTTTCTTCTTCTTTTTCAGTTCCATCAAGTCGTCGACAATAAGGAATTAAACTGTAATCATGACTAGACAGAAGTGTTGTATCTGCTAATGTATCTCCTGAATATGCATATAAACAATCAAATGTTGCATTAATTTCATATCGATCATCCGAATTGTATACAAAATATTGCGCATGAAGAATAATAAAAGATGTGAGCAACACTAGTAATGTTACAAACGTCATTTCTTAATCAAATGAAACAAAAAATAAGTATTTTTTTATAATTTTATGTAGCGTTAATCTGAAGATAAATATAATGATTTATTTTGCTTTTTATATTTATTCCGAGCGCTGAAATAGCAACAAGACAAATAACATGAGAGAAAGCAAAAACTTCACATATGTTAAGAAGTTTATTAAAGTAAGTAAAAGAGATCTTTTTAATAATTGTGATATTCAATTAAGAGATAATTTTATATATAATTCTGACTTAAGGATATGCAATAGTTTTTGTATAAATTGTTTTAATCTAATAAAAAAATAACGTAATTGAAGTTTATTTGATATATATATTTATATATATGGGATGATCAGGAAATTATGGAATATTTTTTTTTATTTTTATTGTTGACGTCATTAACAGAAAATTATTATGTATCGTTTGCCAAATATGTGCACGTAATTCTTTATGTGTTGCAAAGTGGTAAAGCAAAAAAAAGGATAATTGTTTTTTCTATTTGTCGATACAAATTTATAAAAGCAACTTCCTCGTCATGAAGGGAAGATTTAACGTCTCACAGACGATATATACGTCACCAAGATTAGAAATGGCACTTTGTTTTTATTTTACTACATTAATTTATATGTTAGAGTTGCTTGTTGATCATTTACTGGCTCATTTTATATTGATAGCATATGAAATATTCAAATACCATTTAGAGAATATTTTGCTTTCTAAATCAGATGAAGAATAGCATAATATACAGATGAGAAATCCTTCGGAACTGTTATGAATATGTGGGAGCTGTCAGGGAGTGGTAGCAATCTTCCGAGAGTATTAAAAGCCGCTAATAATTGGGAGGAACCATCAGATACTACTGGAAATCGCCACAAATCACAGGCAGACGACACAGAAATATATTATTTTACATGCACTCTCACTCGCAGTCTTTACCGATTATTTTTTTTCTGATAGTTTGCATTGTGACGCGGAATATTTTTCACTTATCTACTTAAAATAACCAGATAAGAAACTACTGAAAATTTTCATATGCATATATGTCCAGTATTATTGACAGAATTATTCTTATATAAGTCGATATGACTGAAAATATTCGATGGTATCAAATATTGCCCTTGAAGCTGAATTATGGTACTTGAAAAACTCTTTGAAACTTAGGTTGAGTATTGTAAGTTTCATTTACCAATGGTAGTAATACAGATGGCGGTAACTGCGAGTATTAATTAGCAACATAGGAGTTAATCATACCGCACATAGTAAAAAAGACTTTTTTATTCATAAGCTATAAATAAAAATAATTGTTCAAATCCTTTCTTTCTTATATTTAAGCTCATTTTAAGCGAATGCATTTGTTAGTTAAAATTTAAAGATTATCGCCATTGAAAAAGTCGTATATCATAGTTAACTTTTTTCTTTTAGATATTTCGAAAATGTATGAAATTACATTAAAGAACAAGAACAACATGAACTGGGTTCTCTTTCGACATTACTCCACGGAAAATATTGTCCTTGAGGATCTAGTCGTTCAATGTGTTCTCTTGCATCAGCAAGAATAACATCTCCTGTATCACCATCCAATAAAATTAATCTTGGAATTCCATTGACACCAAATCTATATTCCAACTCTTGTTTTTTTACTCTGTCTCTGTAGTCTAATCTTAACCAAGGCATATATTGATAATAATTGTAGAATGATTGTTCATCATAATCAGAACTAAGAAAAATAATTTCGAATTTTTTTTCTTCAGCATGTGCTCTATAAAATTCAATTAGTCTTGGAGTAAAGGCAAGGCACGGTGAACACCTAAGAAAAAAAATTCTTACATGATATTTAATGTAAAATCAATATTAAACATACCAGTGAGCACTGAAATAGAGGCCGATTATTTTTCTTTTATATTTTCTAGCATTTAGATCAACTTCTTCATTAGCTTTATTAAAAATATTTCCATTAAAATATTTTGCAACACCGGCCATAACGTGATATCTTTGCCTAGGTATAATCACGAGAGAGTAAAATATGATAATAATTTCTTACGTTAGTTTTGGTTATACTCCTGCGCGCACATGTTCTCCTCTTCTCTCTTAATGATAGGAAGAAAAGGATCAATAAACTATCTGATGTGTTTATACGTGCTATAGAAACAAAACCTTTTTATTCTGTAGTCATGTGCTTTGTGACGTTTTTGTTTACATCATTAACTATAATATATACTTTTGAGAATAATTATTTATTAAATGTTGAATGAAATAGAAAGGATTGATCTTGTAGATGTGGACGATATAGAAATGTACTATCTCATACTGATCCACACGCACATCTTTATCAAGTTCAAGTGGCTAAAAGAAAATGGTTTTTTAATTGATACTTGTCGATGACCTTGAAATGTTCAACATATTTCTTTTTTGTGACAGTAAATTCATATCTGACAAAACGAAATCCTGTATATCATATTAAGTATTTCTCTTCTGTTAACGTGAGACAGTAGATGAAAGCATAATTGTGAATATGATATGCGATTATTCCATTCATCTTTTACACTCACACTCACATATCCATAGTGGATCAACTATCCGATGGCACACTAACTACGTGATTGACATGCAGAAAAACTTTCTGTTCAGAGTTACAACTAATAGTAGTTGTACGAAAAATATTGAACTTTCGAAACTATCTCTAAAGAAAGTCCTATATATTCTTATAGTCAAAAGGCTATGAAATATATTTAATTCGACTTATAATGGATAAACTTTCAGAAGTTTGTTATCGTTTCGAAAATAAATGATGAAATAATATAAAAATGCATCATAGTTTATAGGGTTTTTAAAAAATTAAGAGAGAAAACATGAGTTCAGAGACGATATCAAGAATTTTCTAAGTATCCGATTTATTATGTAAAGCAGACTCTAGCAAGAACATATAATTTTCTTTTGTCATGTCCATTGGCTGTGATACATTCTTTTCTCTTTCATCTTTGTATAATTCCAGTCACATTTTTCTCCTTTGTCTCTTCGATCCTCTTCCATTCCTTTTCCTCACCTCCCTTTTTTTTTGTTGTTCTGAGTAGGAGAGGATGTGTTTGAATGTATTGGATGTATGAGAGAAGGCATTGAAAGCGGTAGATATGTATTGTTCTGTTCTTTTGTATGATATATCTTCACTCTTTTTTGTATCGATTCGTATTTAGTTTTGGAATAAAATAATATCATCACATATTTCAAGTAATTTTTTCCTCAAGAAAATATTGGAACATTATGGACATCCCCCACTATGCCCTACATGAGCTGCGATATTCATTTTAATGGTTTTATTTTTCTCATGAATCAATATTGTTTGCGTCACGCCGTTTTTATAGTATTGTGTAAGCTAAGAAATAAAAAAAACTGATAAGAGATACACGTATATACGCTATAATACATAAAAAGCAAATGAAAAAGAGATTGATGTCTATAAAAATAAAAAGAAACGTCCATAAACGTTCTTTTTTTGTGGTTTTGAATAATAACTCTGATTATGTCAATAATAGCTTTTCATTTTTTTTAAGTATGCAGATTCAGAGACAAAGATTTCTATTGACATCAAGAGTATCATATTACTTTATCCACTAAATTAGTTTCACCTTTAAAGTTTTTCATTTAAAAATCTGCACAATTGACGTTTAACAATAAGAACTACATTAACGAAGAAGAAAAATGTAAGTCTATAGGCTAGAATAATAAACTCCAATTGTCGACAATATGTTGATATTTGTAAATCGTTTGTTCTTTTAGAAACAGTGGTACAAAAAAATGGCGTCATCAAATGATAATGAAGACATGACAACAAGAACATCACTTGGTGCTATGATAGTTAATGAAATACAAGTAAACTTATTCATATTCTTTATGTGAAAAATTTTGAGTAGAAAACAAAAACGCTAATTTCTAGGAAATGATACTCGATAATACGGAAAATATGTCGCAGTCTTCAGGCTCCAGTATTCGTGAGTGATAATACACAATATATTTTCATGAAATACTGATATCTATTCTTACAGAAGGAGCTGACATCGATTTCAACAATCTGATATTGACAAACGATACTATTAATAATACAAGACGAACAACTACAGACGACACTCCTATATCGTCTACGCCAATTATGCGAGGAGCAAGTGAGGCTAAATGACTTTCAAAATATTATGTTTATTATTTTTATTTATTTAGCGACAGCTGTAAATGAAGAAGTGCAGATGCTTACAAATCGTTTAGGTTCGATCTTCAACGAAAATAATACACCTAATGAGAATAATGGCACTGAATCTTCAACGGATGATGAACATGAAGTTGTATCACAAGCTGCTACACCAACAGGTATATAAGATAGAATAATGGAAAATTTATGTAATGCAAATGTTTTCATTGTCGTATTAAAGATGAATTACAAGCTCCAAGGTTGACTTTTCGTTCAGAACACCGACACATTATGATAAGTTATTCTCACGATGAAACATCTGACATTTGCCGAAGAATTTGTACTCAATTAAGAGTTTGTATATAATGAATTTGTCTATATAAATAGTCTGATATTTCTCCCGACAGGATCGAGGCTATCAAGTATGGATGGATACGAATAATCTGCGCGGTGCACTACATCAGAGAATAGCTGAAGCAATCGAAAATTCTTACATTGTTCTTTTCTGCATAAACAGTCGATATTCTAATAGTGATTTCTGCGAAAAAGGTAATATATTCAGGTACGTTTTTACATTTTTCATTAATAATCATATATATTATAGAGGCTTTGTATACTGATAAAAGACAAATTGATTTTATTCCATGTCTCTTGGAAACATCATATGTACCTGATGGATGGCTTGGTATATTAATTCGTGATCGATTGTATATTGATTTTTCTTCAGCAGATCATTTTGATACAGCTTTTGAACAATTAATTGAGGAAATAAAGGAAATCGAAAATCGATTACAAATGGCATCTAGTAAGTTAAATTGTTATTTTAATGATCCTTATAATCATTAGAGTCATTCTCTTTATATTTTTTTCAAAACATAACAATAATCAAAACTCAACTGTGATAAGACCTTCGAATAATTCAACTCAGCATGATGCTCTTCGAACTGTTATACGTGAATTTAGAGAATCAATCAATCAGACTTATCATGATGCACAACAGATGACAGAAGAAGAATTTCTTCAATTTCTCGAGTACCTACGTCAAAGAATATTTACTAATACCTTATCATTGCCTGCCAACAATCAAAACAATCATATTCAAGAACAAGTGCAAGAAATTCTCCAACATTCACGAGATCAAATTGAAATTTTGAGAGGAATTGCACAGATCCTTTCTAATCTAACTGACATTAGAACCATTATTAAACTTTCTGCAGCTTTCGCATTGTTATGTGCAACATATAAATACTTTAAACGTAAATAAATCAATCTGAGGATGTGCATATAATACTTAAGAAAAACTATTCAAGGACGAAAAAAAATCTGACTACTAACACTTGAGTGTAAAAACAAAATTTCACAAATGTTGTCACTTATTTACGTCATACAATAACTCGCTCAATACAATTTATGTTGTGTGTCGCTATGAAAGAACAATAAGAATTTTTTTCATTTCACCACATGGAATTTGTTGACAAAATAAACCGAATAATTTTGTGACGTTAAGAATAATAATACATATTTTCTTACTTCGGAACGACTGTTACATATAATGCTCAGCTTAGATGATCCTAAATTATTTCGTTGATAAATAAAGAGACGTAAAAGTAGTTTTGGAACGAAATCTTACGAAAGAAAATGCGAAGTTAACGAAACTGAACGATCGCGTTAGTGATACACTTTCGCAAACTTCTCATAACTTCGTAAGCTTTTTTGTAAGACTTCGTAATTTTAAGTTTTTAAAAAAGACGAATTGGCCCATCACTACGTGAAAGAATGCAGCTTGTGACACTCATACCTTCCTTTAGAAAAATGTTTCTTTTTCTCTTTGTAGTTTATATTTTCAGATGAACTGACACGTTAAATAATGTTACGAAAATATAAATTAAGATATACTATTCTATCGATATTCATTGTCTTGTTCATTTTGATATCAATATATATGGATGTTTCATTTGACAAAATTGAAAAATATATAAAAAATCCACGTCTACATAATTTTATTCAAGGTTTATCAACAAAAATTATATATAATGATACAATAAAAAAAAATTTAAATAAATCAAAAATATATTTTATTCATATTCCACGTACAGCAAGTGATTCATTACGAACACATATGATAGGACAAACAGGATTAATCTATGATAAAAGTACTTATCATTGTGAACAATTTCAAGACTGTTTATTATTGAATAATGAACGATATAAAAAATTTCAATCCTACTATATTATCAAAGGATTTTATTCGTATAATGATTTAGCTAAATATAAAATTTTTGATGAAAAATCGAATATATTCATAACAATATTTCGTAATCCAATTGAACGAATTTTATCATTATATGATTATTCTAAACACGGGTTTTTATTTCGACGTCCTTTTTTAACATTAAAACAATTTTTAACATCAGATGATCCGATAATACAATCATTTATAAATAATAGTATGACTTGGCAACTTGGTTATCATTTATTAATGAGTGAAAGACAGCATTTTATTGAACAACAAAATAATACCGATATAATTTATGATTTAGCAAAAAATCATTTAAAATTATTTAATTATATTGCTTTTTATGAAAATTTAATGTATGATTATAATGAATTAAATTCGAAAATATTTTCAAATTTAAATCAAAATCATTCGATGTTAGATTTCTTATTTAATATTGCAAGTTGGCTTGGATTTTTTCGTATGAGAGTATTGAAATATAATGCTCGAATTAAATATAATTTAGAAATACAAAATATTTTAAAACAATTAACTTTTTATGATATGAAATTATATAATTTTGCTAAGAATGATATTCGACATTTGAATTTTATGACATTTGATAGTTATTTTCAAGCATCATTTATAGTTTTATTTATTTTATTTTATTTTATTGGATGTATTTTTTTACTTTATCGTTTACGATTGAAAATATTACAGAATTCTAAAATAAATTTACATTAAGATATTTTTCTTATTATCAAAATGTAAGAACGTCACGCGCCTGCATTTTTGAGGATATAGATTTTAATAAAAGAAAATATTGTATGGTATCTCATACTCGTTTCTATCTTACACAGAAGATTAATAGATTTGGAAAGTTCATCTCAAATTAGTGACATCTTTTTCAGATGTTTATTTTTCTGATCACGAAAGAAATAGGATTATAAGATTTTGATGGTTTTGTATCAAATTATAATTTAAGATTATTTTATATTAGCTTGTTTATATTAGATCATGATTTAACACGTGATTCTATAGTAAAAAAGTTTTAATGTCTACAGCAGAGATTCTTTGAAATTATAAAGTATTTTCTCGAGAGAAGAATTACTTTAAAAAACTGGAATTTATTTGGTTAAGTTTGGAGTATATTTTTATTGGTTCACTTTCTTTTCTTTGTTTCTATTTACCTTCTACTGCTATGCATGACTCGGTTAAACTACCGTCATCATACATTCTTTACTACACACATCTAATAATAAATCGCCCACAAAATTTTTCATACAACTAAAGAATAGAAAGAACAAGAAAAAAAACGCGTTTACATACTTTTTACTTCAAGTGATTCAAAGACAAAAAAAATGGGTGAAACAGATACAACAAATTATCGTGTATATCCATCTCGATGGATTCAGTTGATAATCTATGTTTTAGCAACATTTTCAAATGCCTTACATAGTATGACATTTTCACCAATTCAATCCGAAACATCAGAATTTTATGGTTTATCAACAATACAAGTAAATGTTTTAGCTATTATATTTCTATTTCTTTATCCTGTTGGTACAATTTTATCAATATGGTTAAATCAAAAATTTTCATTACGAACAGGAATAATAGTTGGAAGTATATTAAATCTCGGTGCATTTATTCGTTTATTTTCTTTAATTTCACCATTAAATGGATATGCAGCTTTGATTATTGGTCAATTATTTCCAGCAATTTCAACAGCTTTATTCATGAATATAACAGCATTATTTGCAGCACGTTGGTTTGCACCTAAACAACGTGATGTTGCTACAGCTATTGGTTCAATGGCTAATCCATTAGGTAAAATTTCGAAATAAATCTAAGACAAAAAAAAATATTAATAAAATATAAATTATATAGGTTTAGCTGTTGGTTCTCTTGTTCCATCATTAATTGTTACTGATGGATCTTCATCAACCTCATTTTTTATTCTTTTAATTGCTGAAGCTGGTTTTACATTATTAACAACATTATTAGTTCTATTTCTATTTCGATCCGAACCACCTACACCACCTTCACCATCAGAAGAACATCGTTTACCAATTAATATTAAAAAAGATCTCATTGATCTATTAAAAAATCGTCATTATCTAATACTTCTATTTAGTTTTTCTCTTGGTTTAGCACTTTTTAATGCAATAACGGCATTACTCTATCAAATAATTCAACCAACAGGTTATTCGAGTACTGATGCTGGAATATTTGGTGCAATAATTATTATTGCAGGTCTTCTCAATGCATTCTTAGCAGGTATTATTATGGATCGAACACATGCATATCGACTTATATTAAAACTTTTATCAATTGGTGCTTGTGGAGCATGTATTTATTTTATTTTAATACTTCAACCGAATCAATTCTATCCATTAGCTGTTTCAATTGGTTTAATGGGTTTCTTTTTATTACCATTATTACCTGTTGCATTTGAATGTGCTGTAGAATGTACGTATCCAATTCGTGCAGAATGGTCAACAGGTCTTTTAATGTGTGTTGGAAATGTTCTTGGTGGTATATTTATTTTTGTTCTCGGTGAACTTATTAAATCAAAACCTATTTCAAATTCTATGATTATTATTACACCAACATCTATATTCATTCTTTGTTGTTCTGTTATTAGTACTTTAGTATTATTGACTTATAATGGGCCTTATTTAAGACTTGAAGCTGAATATCGAGTTGATACTAGAACGTTTTCAGATGCTTCAGATTTGTAAAATAATACAATCACTGAAAATATAAATTTTTTTACAAATTAATAAAGACTTTTATCTGTAAATGTTTTATTCTGAATCATATAATCTACCATTTCAATACTTTGTCTACAATTAAGAAACAAAAAAGGATATATTTAAATAATGCCATAGAATTCTGTTGAATCAAATAGCACTTATGATGAATATAAAATAGTTAGATGCACATGTTTAATTCTATAATTTTTATCATACAATGCCAATCGTTTGTCATGAGTTCAACATTTTGAAAATCTAAAAACTTCCATCAATATAATTAAGCTATCAATCAACATAGTTCTTAATCTGATAGATTAAAATATCATTGATTTATATTTATAGCGTATTATTTCAAATAAAACTAAAATAAATATCAGTTTAGAATTACATTGATCTTAGTTAAATAATGCGAAGTTTATAAATTAACTGAAAGACATAAATCATTGGATTGTATAACGTATATTGGTAAAATGAAACAAAATTTTTTAGTAACGATTGTTATTATAATGTGAGTAAATCTTTCTTTTTGAATAGTGAGCGATATATGTAGTAAACTATTTGTTATTTGAATATAGATGCTGTATTTCCAAGATTTCAGGTAAAAAGAATTTTTTTTTTATTACAGATACTGTGTTCGATTTACTTCCATCTGAATGTTTTATATTACAGAATAAAACTAGAAGATTATTCTCTAAAATATCTATGAATATCATTACGTATTTATAAGATAGTGTTTCGAATTTTTAAATAATATTTAACACTATTGCAGTACAAGTGATGCATTTAGACTATAATTGAATATGTTTCACATTTTCTCTAGGATGGACAACTACTGAGAGTATGAAAAATGCACGATGGGCACACACAGCAACAGTGTTAACAAACGGAAAAGTATTAGTTGCTGGTGGAACCAGTAATATTGGTGTTCTAAATAATGTTGAATTATATGATCTACCAACAAGAATGTGGACAACTACTAATAATATGAATAGTAGACGATATTATCATACAGCAACTGTATTAGCTAATGGACAAGTATTAGTTACTGGTGGAACTAATGGTAATACTTTAATGAGTACTGAATTATATGATCCATTAACAGGAATATGGACAATCGCTGGAAATATGAATATTGGACGATTTGAACATACAGCAACTGTATTACCTAATGGAAAAGTATTAGTTACTGGAGGATACAGTAATAATGGTAATATTTTAAATAGTTCTGAATTATATGATCCATCAACACGAACATGGACAATTACTGGTAGTATGAATATTCGACGATATTATCATTCAGCATCGATGTTAATGAATGGAAAAGTATTAGTTACTGGTGGATATGTTAATAATATTGCGTTAAGTATGTCCGAACTATATGATCCATTAACTCAAACATGGACAATTATTAATAATATGAATAATGCACGTTATTATCATAAAGCATCTATATTAATAGATGGACAAGTATTAATTACAGGTGGTTTTAATAATAACTATCTAAATAGTGCTGAATTGTATGATCCATTAACAGGAACTTGGTCAATAACTGGAAATATGAATTATGCACGTATGACTCACACAGTATCTATACTAAGAAATGGAACAATTATAGTTACTGGTGGATATAATAGTAGTGGTCAATTAAATAGTGCTGAGTTCTATAATCCAACAACAAGACAATGGACAATAACTAATTTCATGAATGATAAACGATATTATCATACAGCATCCGTATTAATAGAAGGAAATGTTTTAGTTACTGGTGGACGTGATAATGTAAATAGTACAGAAGTATTATTTATAAGTTAAAAATAATCTTATTCTAATAAAACTTTCTTTACAATGTACATTAGTCGTAAAAAAAGTGAATATTAACAGAAATTCGCTAAATAAATTTGATCTATGATATAAAAGAGTATTCATCCTTCATAATTCGAATTACTAGTTTATAACAAGAATAAATTTTTGATGTCATTTACTTATACTTTCATTGATAACTAGTTTATTATCTCATGATAGTATCATAACCTTCGACATTAAAAGCATCTCTGTAGAATTAGTTTTTTCTATGTAATAAATAATGAAAAATTTCATTTGAATACAAACGAGCATAATATTAAAACGTATTATGATGATGTATTTTTTCTAAATCATATTTAATGTAAAAATGAATAATTTTGAATACTAAGAAAGCATTTGAGTGAAAGGTGATAAAGTATATTTTATATTCTGTTAACGAAAATTAGATGAGCAATATTTTATGTTATGACGTCAATGATACGCATGATTTTGTTAGATTATTATACATATTTATTCATATGAATTAGAAAAAAGATTCGTTTTGATATTACTCATTTACCTGATGTATAATAACTATGATGATACGAATATGAGCTGAGCTTATAACTAAAATAATACTGCGTAATTAACACGAATCAAGATAAAAAATTATAGGTATGTGTGTAGGCTGAATCGTATTTTTTTGATCAAGATTGAATAATTTTTTTTTCTTTTCTGCTTACGTCCGAATATCAAAGGTTCGTATATATATATATAGATAGCAAAATACGTTTTTTATTCATTAATCGAAACGCAATAAACTTATTTATCTATCAATAATTCAACATGTACGGTGGTTATGGTTATGGTAATAATATGAATATGAATATGAATGCAGAATTAAGATCTGATATGTGGATTCAACAAAATATTCCTGGTGGATTAAACAGTAAATATTAACAATTCCTTTATTCTATTATAAAAAAATTCTTATTATGATTTATTTTAATATAGGTCCTCTTGGTGAACGATTAGATAATATGATGGGTGGAAATTCAAATCCAACATACGGTCAAATATATGGTGGTGCACCAGGAGTTGGTGGTTACGGTGGCGGATATGGTCGTGGATATGGTTATTCATATTATTGATAATTTCAGCGATTTCCTTTCAAATGATACAATATACTAATAAATAATTTTTTTTCATATTAATAAAAATAAAAATTTCAATAATACTTGAAAAAAGCATACATTATTTATTTTTATGAATTATCATCAATTTTTTTCCTACAATTTTCGTAATATTGAGAAGAAAGTTTGAGAAAAAAAACAATACGAATAATAGCCAATAATTAAAACGAGATGTTTTAGAAATTGTGAATACAAAACATAAGATATTTTTTATTTTTTATACTCGTAATTTTTTTTGATTGAGAATATTATACTATTCAGGTAAGTTTACGTCAAATGAAATACGATATGACATTAGAAAAGTAGGATATGATTGGTAAAATAATAATCGTATTTTTATTATAAAATCAAAAGAAAAATATCTAATGACATTATATGGTAATTATTAATTACGTCAAATATATTTTATGGTTCACAAGATTTAATTTCAGTTGCTACTTCATCAATTCGAGCATTGAGCATATCATTTGATTCCATTAAACGACATATTTCATCATTATCCAATTCGAGTAGTGCTCCAGTAACTTTACTTGTTAAATCAGGTTCTTTGACTCTTTGTAAGACAAGAGGAAAGAGTTTGTTGCCTAGAAATCCTTTTTGTTCTTCAATTGTTGATAGAGATGCAAGGTTAGCGGACAACGACGACATACTATTTTCGCTCGTGATGATGTTATGAATACAATAAATGAATTTCTCTTTTCTCTCATGCTGACATCGTGTCTTTTTAACAGAACGAAATTTTTAAACGCATACAAAATACACATGTTTATATCTTGAAAAAGTATTTTTTTTCTCAATAGAAACTCAGTTAAATATATTTTATATTCGATTTCTATACTAATTGAATAAGTCTGATAATGTTTCGATAATTAAGTCGCAACCACATCCACACCATAGTATACGATATTTTATATATCACCATTTTTTTCTCTTTCCTTCTTCGTTCTTTACAATAAAAATAAACATTACCTTAGAGTAGCACATGGCAAAAAAAACCTTGATAAAATCAATGTATTCTCATACATATGAAAATTTGATTTTATACGCATTGTAACATTTTATTTGCCAGTTTTCTTCTTGTTTGTCATTATAATGCACTACACATTGAATTTACATAGAAATATCGAGCATATTAAATAATATACTTACAAAAAATGACAACATAAATTATTAGATTATTAATTAACTAATTGTAACTCAGAGAAATAAAATTTATAATTATACAAAATCTAAAAAAGTATGAAGTCTTTGGTTAACTGAATTTTGAAAGACTCCAATATATGTTGAAGTATCTCGTGTATTAAATTCATTTGACATTGTATAAATATAATTTTCACTATAATATAAATATTGAGAATAATTATATAATGTTGAAAGTAATATTGGATATGTAGCAAGGCCGAATGCAATAATATACGAGAAACCTGCAATTGGACGGTATGCTCCCGGAAAATACTTAGGTAGCAGAACAATTACATTCTCCGATTCTGGAAAATTTTGGAATAATACTCCTGTAGAAATAAATATAGTCGAAAGAAGAGCAAAATAGACAATACTAAAATGGATATAGGCAAACACCATTGGCAGAACATGTGTTAATAAATAAGGCAAAATTAAGGCACCAATAAAAACAAATGTAATTATAGATGAGAACAAACCAAGATGGAACGCAAACCATTGCCAATTTGTTGCTGGTATCCATGTTTTCCTATTTTCTAATAGTGCTATTAATTTAATAATAAAAACAGTAAAAAAACCAGCATATGATACAAATATATAATTGTATATTCTGTAGCCAAATGCATTATAACAATTCCATGTAGTTGCATATTCAGCTGACATACACGATGATTGAATATGACAATACCATATACCATGTCCACATAATGGAAGACATTGAAACACAAAGTCAAAAACATCAAAATCTACCTTTCCTCTCAGTCGATCACGTAACTCTTGTGACTTTTCTGATTGTTCAAGTCCGCGAAATATCAACGAAAATAGTGTTCCCCGATGATCTCTTTCAATCTTCTCTGCAGTACGTAATACCTCAAGAGACGTTCTTCTAAGTGTCTCCTTATGAAACGATAATACCCAACGAATAAAAGCAATTTCTGTTGTTGTTAAGAATACGTGGTATCGAAATAAGTTCCATAAACGTAGAAATAGTTGCATTCCTATAAGTTGCAAAACCATTATCCAATATGGCTGAATAGTCATGTGGTCTTGCGGGAGTGTATATAATAATGGATTGGCATTTTGATATTGTATTGATATAGAACCAGCTGTACCGTTTGAATACATTATTATATGTTACTTTTTCAGATAATTTACTAACATCAATGTTTGCGATGAATTCAAAAAAGATTTCTTGTCAATTAAAAAATAATTTTAGCGTATCTTAAGTGTTTACGAAGCGTTTTTAAGGGTTTCGATTTCGTTGCATAAATAGTTCGGTAGTGCGCCTTTTTTTATACAGTGTAGTGACAGAGATAATAATTTTATTCAAGGAAAATATCTGTTTTCATAAACAATATTTTAATAAATAACTATGTGTTTTGCTTGTGTGTTACAAACTATTAAATTAAATGATGTTGTAACGATAACACTAGTCATATTTACAAGCAAAATATATAGAAAAAAAAATAGCGTATCAGATTTATCTTGCATGGTGAATTATTTTATGCTTTTAATTTTTTTTTTCGCTCATCGAGATACCACATAAATTACTTCTACTTATTTTTGAGGATTTTTCTCGATATATTTAAACATTCTGTTGACAAGGATGAAATACAATTTTATGTAATAATCAAAAAACAAATTAGATAAATCATCAGTACGATTATGAATAATGGTAATCATATTTTTGTATATAAAATGAATAAAAGAATATCTATTACTTATTTTATTTATTTTTTGTTCTATTCATCTCTTCGATTTAATAAAAATCTTCAAACGCTAGTTGAAAAGGTGTAATATCATAAACTTGGATCGATTTGATTTTTTTTCTTGTCATTTGTTTGATCATGGATGAATTGCAATCAATCGATTTTCTTTTTTTTTCTTTTCAAAGAACCAAATTATGTAAATAATGATCATAAATCCAATAGCATCTATTTTACCTTAATAAAAAAAAGTGCACGTAAAGCTGTTTTATAACCAAGTTTTTCTTTCTAATAAAGAACCGATCAAAGAGTGCATTGTTTTAGAATATATATATATTGCATTGCATAATAAATCTTTTTCAACCTTTTCTATATGTTTTTTTCCTCATAGATAGATAAAGGAAAGAATAAGTGATATATATAAACTATTGTTTTCATATTTCAGTGTAAGTCAATTTTTTTTTCAATTGAATTTACGAAATAATCCTATTGTTTCGAAACTTGATAATAAATTCTGATGTTTTATAAATAAACAGAGTGAGTATTGGTATGAAGCTCTCAAAAAATGAATTTCTATATCTCTGTCAGAAATTGATGTTGGACAATTATATTTTCGTCATTTATCAAATCAGTATATGATTTTCGCTGCTGTTAGAATAAAAATTATTTCTAAACTATCTTAGAAATCTCGAATTTGTAATTTATTATTGAATTAGATTTAATTTAAAAAAAATGGTTACATTATTTGAAAATCCTCATGAATCAGCATTGGCAATGTTTTTATTACAAGTATTTATTACATTAATTGTATGTAAAATTCTTGCTAAACTCTTATCATTTATTGGTCAACCACAAGTTATTGGACAAATCATTGCTGGAATTATTTTTGGTCCATCAATACTTGGTAAATAGAATTATATACATATAAATTAGTAAATTTTTTTATTTATTTATTTTAGGTTATGCTAAAGGATGGTCATCTGCTATATGGCCTGCATCAACATTGAAAATTTTTCAATTAATAGCAAATTTAGGTTTAATATTTTTCATGTTTTTTCTTGGATTAGAACTTGATTTAAATCAAATAAAAGCAAATTGGAAAGTAACAATTCCTGTTGCATGTGTCAGTATAATTGTACCTGGTATGTAGAAATTTAAAAGAAAATAATCGTATGATAGTTTTGTTTTTTTCAAGTGGGTATTGGTTGTGCTGTTGCTTTATGGTTTTATGAATTAAATGATGGAATAGTAGCAAGTAAAACAGCTTTTATTTTATTTATTGGTAAGAAAAATGATTTATTCTTTTCTAAATATATTGAATTTAATTTCAATTAAAGCTTCTGGTTTTGGCTTTTCTGCATTTCCTGTATTAGCAACATTATTGAATTCGATGAATTTACTTAATGAACCAATTGGTATTCAAACAATATGTTTAGCTGCAGTTGAAGATATTGTTGTTTGGGTTGTTTTAGCTGTTGCTAGTGCTTTTTCATCAGGTGGTTCGGCTCTTCAAGGTCTTTATACATTATTATTAACATTAGCATTTATAGCAATAATGATATTTATAATACGACCAATATTTAATCGTATTCATGGTTTTTATCTACAACGTCATGATGATTGTAATGTTTATATTGTTGTTGGTTGTTTTTTATTACTTTTAATTGCATCATTTACAACTGAAGTTATGGGTAAAAGGATTTTCGTTTTTTAGAAAAAAAAAAAAATAATAATTTTAATAGGTATTCATGCATTTTTCGGAGCATTTATTGCTGGTCTTTGTATACCACGAAAAGGTGAATTAGTTGAATTTTTATCAATACGTATTGAATTACTTATTGTTGAATTTTTCTTACCGTAAATAAATTTTTAATAGATTTACGAAATAAATAATTTTATTTTTATTTTAGTCTTTATTTTGCGAATAGTGGTTTGAAAACACGTTTAAATCTTTTAAATACTGGTCGATCATGGTGGACATTAGCTATACTTATTATTTTAGCTTCAGTATCCAAAATAATCCCAGTAACAATCGCAACAAAAATATGTGCAAGAAAATCTTGGTATTATTGTGCATCAATGGGTGTTTTAATGAATACACGTGGTATTGTTCAATTAGTTGTTTTAAATATTGGTGTACAACTTAAAGTTATATCACCTGTTATATTTGCCATGTTTGTTTTAATGGCAACTATTTTAACACTTTTAACTTCACCAATTTTATCATTTCTTTATAAACGTGATTCGGATCCGAAGATTTTAGAAGAATCTAAAACTGCATATGATTTACATATGGTTTTAGAAGGAGAAAATAATCTAAATAGACCTTCAATTGATAAAAATGATCTATCAAATGCAACAATAACAGCTATTGTAGAAACGAAGAGATTATCAACATCATCAAATAATGAAAATGGACAACGAAGAAAATCTTCTCGAATGACTTTATTTTAATGATTTGTTTCATTTTTGTTTTTACACATTATATAGAATACCTTTTTAGTTAGTTTTCACCGGTTTTTTTGACATTTTATTTTTATAGAATAAAATAAATCAATGAATAAATCATAATGAGGTTTAATATAGAGTCAGCGAGAGAGAAAAAGAAAAATT